CAGGTCACCTATCTACTAGTGGTGTCGTGTCGTGTTAGAATACCAGATAATTTGGGGTCTGCTTTTCGTTGTCTACCTAATCAGGCTATGCAAATAAAGCTGGGGTTCTGTAAAAGGTCGTTTAGGCTATGCGACTGATGGTCATCTAGAGATATCTGTAAATACTTGACATAATGCTGTATTGAGCCAGGGCAATCACAATCGAATCTTATTTGTTGTCTCTTTGATCATCCAGTATGGAGCAACGTGTATAGCCGCAAGAGAGATTGGTATCTTAAAGTACCATACACCATAGAAAGATAGGAAGAAATAAATCATTTATGAACACAGAAAATAGACAGGCAATCGAAATATTACATTAATATTCCAATGGTTAGTTAAAAGATGTTTTAATATTTTGATAGGGTGGGATGACTGATATTCTGTTTATCGTGATGGAATTAAAATTATAGATACCATCAACAGATTTTAAAAACACAATGCCCTCCACCTCCTTATGCAAACCAATAAAAATGAATAAATATAAGCAAACTTGTGTCTGTAAACTAACATGATCACGTTGCATTATCAAATACGATATATGTGCGGTTAAGAGTAATTGCTATCATACTAAATGTGCCGTTTACGATAATCGCTTTTTAAAGATGGTTACAAGTATCTGTCATTATCGATACTTAACTCATGATAATCGATATATAAATGTAATTCGGATTGACTTTTTCTTGAAATCGATATTTTGTTCGGAATTATCGCGTTATATTTTTGGTTCAGAATAACGCTTATTAACATCGATACTTAGCTCGTGATAATCGCGATACCCGTGTGATTCCCGTTGATTTACTTAATCATCGACGCCTTGTTTACATCAGTGTGAAGAAATGCTATGACAAATTGTAATTCATTAACATTAAGACGTGATAAATATAAGAATATCCCATAACCATTAATTGCCTTTAACCACCACAATATACTAAGCTACCTTCACCGCAACACATCAGCCCTGGACTGTGATATTACTTCCAATATTTTATGTTATTTCGGTGATAACCTACCTTATAGGACTTGGACTTTTAAAACAGTTTCCAGTACTTAAAACAATACACACGCACAAATAATATATAGAATATACTATTACATAAAAACATCAGGGCAAAATTAGAAATTTACGTCATCTTTAAAAGCTTCGAACAAAAACTCTACAGCATCACACAGTTACACGCGGAAATGTCACATAAGAACATAAAAGGAGTGGAAATACTAAAAAAAAATGTTGCAAGAAAGCCACATATCATATGTGGCTCTAACATTAAAATATGTGAACTGTTGATGTTTTTGGATTGTTTATATTGTATAACGAAGTACTGCTTGTTTTATTAGAAAGCCACGATGCTTCCTTCATGGCGTATTGTCGTAGCCATTTAAGTACACAATTTTACACGAGAGCTTGGTACTCGGACTTGATGAGCCTACCTGGTCGCAGGAACTCTAGATGCGAGATAGCCACCAGGAATCTGCGTTACAATATATCCCCAGAAAAATGAGCTGTCTACCACGCCGATCGTCTCCGGCGTCCAGTTAAACTCAGGAAGCTGGGGTGGTAGCTGCAATATAAACAGACTATATAAGGAAACACGACTTAACTATAGGATGTTTATACAGTGGCTTTGCGGAAAAGTCATATTGCATAGTGCAATGGGTAACAGTGATAACATGAAATATGTGTGTGTGCATATGTTTATATTTACCATCGTATGACATTGCCACTATGTAACCCTACCAGATTCAGTTGGAATTCATATAGACTATGAATGCCATGGACCGATTGTTGACGTCATCATTATTATGATATTACTATTAAAACAAATACTATCATTGTTATGCTATTACTAATTAATATTAAAATTCAATTAAGCTACATGTAGTGCGCTTTATTGAATTTGCCTTTGTCCAGTTGGAATTCATATTGCCTATGAATGCCAACTGAAAGCAGTTTAACATTTAAATTTATTACAGTGATAACTGTATAATACATGTATATTTAATATGTGAATCACAATGATACCATAACATACATTACAATGAACAGTTTTAATTGTGTGTATTACAGTGATAACTATATAGTAGCGTAACAATACGACAGTATAACGCAGGATTAATGTCTATATCAAAACTGTGATAAAAGTTAAATCAGACAAGGACAATGATATCCATCACCAATGAACATTGTAACATGATTAAGACAATCTTTATGTTGTTTGATCAGAACCCTACATACCATTTTTGTTGATAATTTGGCCAGAATGAAACAATCCATGTCCTCGAATTTTGTACACAAGTAAGGATATGTTTATTGTAGATAAGGACATAACATAAATTTATACTCTATCTCTCTAGAGAAAATATAATCTTACATATAGTCATTTGATATGACTTTAGGAAACACGATTTCAGTGCTATATGAGTATCAATTTGACAAGGTGAATACTATGTAAATCATTACTGTGTGAACATTGTCATTCACAAAGCAAAGCAAGGATTAATGACTGTCACTGAGTTATTTTGAGTTGTCTGGGACATATCATCAGCCAGCGGGCATTCGACATGTAACAGCTATATAAGTACTGGGTTCAGCTTGTTTTATAAGTGTCATATTAGTTTGCATTGATTTAGACCTGTTTAACGCATTTGTTATCTTCTATAAATCCCTTTGGCTTAGGGAGTAGAGTATTACTTTACAACCTGCTAAATTATTCTAACACTTCGACATGTGAATCGGGACTAATTGGAGGGAAAATGAAACATCAGGGAATTAGCAGTGATTGTTCAGATCCACATATATATAGAAGGTTGATAATGTAACCGTATCGGCAATTATCGATTAAATGATGAAATGGACAAATTTACATTGGACTCGCCGTTTACACTAGGGTTAGAGCTGTATAGGGCCATTAGTGGACCACTGGTTTATTGAAAATCAATGTATAATAACAGAACCAAAAAGTTTTGAACATTGTCGGTGACTGTTGTAGATAGTATAGTTATCGTGACGATTCTCATGTAACTTTGTCTGTGAGTTAATGTGACTCGTCAGTTTTACAAGTACTACTTATTAAGTACTATTGTAATATAATAGCTGTTTCTACTGATATAACCAGCTAGGTATTTCTACAAGTGTATTTTTTAAAGTAGTTGTTTCTACCGGTAATTAATTTAACGTTGAAACACAACATGGTATGCAACAATAAAAACGTTTTTGTATAAATCCTGATCATTTTGATGGTGAATAATGACAGGTCAGTTAACTTACCTGTGTGTTTATCTGTCAGAATAAGATGCATTAACATACCTGACAGGACGGGTTAAATGATTAGCTATACTTCTGTTTAGTTGGGTAATTTAAGTAATACATGTACTGTATATAGAAGTCTTTTTGTTTTTCGACTTTTTGAATTGTAGTTAAAATTTATCATTTGTGTGGCTATAAAGTCTTTGTTAAACAATATTGCTACAACTCATCCTCCAACTTGATAAACGTATGAGGCTTCAATTTTCTTCCATTTCAGAATACAGTAAAGAATACACATATATTACTAAATATTATTGGATGTTTTTGATAATATGTGTAGGATACAGTTATGATTCGGCTCCAAAGATGTTTAAGTATTTGTTCTATTGCCATATAACGTGGTTCCAAACAGTATATCAGTAATGAAGAAAACTCAGGGCAGTGGTAGCTGTTCGGGGGATATTTATACACAATTGTAAGAACATTGGAGTTTGTTTAGGCTATCATACAAGCTGTTGTGTGTGTTATATACCTGGTCAAATAATCTGTTACAGAAGATACCAGGTGTGTTATATACCTGGTCACATAATCTGTTACAGGAGATACCACCTTTATTATATACCTGGTCAAATAAACTGTTACAGATGATACCAGGTTAAGTATATACCTGATCACCTAATCTGTTACAGCAGATACCATTTGTAATATATACCTCATCACATAATCTGTTACAGAAAAAAAACACGTGTATTATTTACCTGATCACATAATATGTTACAAATGATACCATGTTTATTATATACCTGATCACATAATCTGTAACAGCAGATACCATTTGTATTATATACCTCATCACATAATCTGTTACAGAAGATACCAGGTGTTTTATATACCTGGTCACATAAACTGTTACAGATGATACCATGTTTATTATATACCTGATCACATAATCGGTTACAGCAGATACCATTTGTATTATATACCTCATCACATAATCTGTTACAGAAAATACCACGTGTATTATTTACCTGATCACATAATCTGTTACAGATGATACCATGTTTATTATATACCTGATCACATAATCTGTTACAGATGATGCCAGGTTAAGTATATACCTGATCACATAATCTGTTACAGAAGATACCACTAGTATTATATACCTGATCACATAATCTGTTACAGATGATACCATGTTTATTATATACCTGATCACATAATCTGTTACAGAAGATACCAGGTGTGTTATATACCTGGTCCCATAAACTGTTACAGAAGATACCATGTTTATTATATACCTGATCACATACTCTGTTACAGATGATACCATTTGTATTATATACCTGATCACATAATATGTTACAGATGATACCATGTTTATTATATACATGATCACATCATCTGTTACAGATGATACCATGTTTATTATATACCTGATTACATAATATGTTACAGATGATACCATGTTTATTATTTACCTGATCACATAATCTGTTACAGAAGATACCACTAGTATTATATACCTGATCACATAATCTGTTACATAAGATACCATGTTTATTATATACCTGATCACGTAATCTGTTACAGATGATACCATGTTTATTATATCCCTGATCACATCATCTGTTACAGATGATACCATGTTTATTATATACATGATCACATCATCTGTTACAGATGATACCATGTTTATTATTTACCTGATCACATAATCTGTTACAGATGATACCATGTTTATTATTTACCTGATCACATAATCTGTTACAGAAGATACCAGGTTTGTTATATACCTGGTCCCATAAACTGTTACAGAAGATACCATGTTTATTATATACCTGATCACACCATCTGTTACAGATGATACCATGTTTATTATTTACCTGATCACATAATCTGTTACAGATGATACCATGTTTATTATATACCTCATCACATAATCTGTTACAGAAGATACCACGTTTATTATATACCTGATCACATAATCTGCTACAGAAGATACCACTAGTATTATATACCTGGTCACACAATCTTTAATAGCAGATACCATTTGTATTATATACGTAGTCACAAAATCTGTTGCAGATGATACCATGTTTATTATATACCTTATCACATAATCTGTTACAGATGATACCATGTTTATTATATCCCTGATCACATAATCTGTTGCAGATGATACCATGTTTATTATATACCTCATCACATAATCTGTTACAGATGATACCATGTTTATTATTTACCTGATCACATAATCTGTTACAGAAAATACCACGTGTATTATTCACCTGATCACATAATCTGTTACAGAAGATACCATGTTTATTATATCCCTGATCACATAATCTGTTGCAGATGATACCATGTTTATTATATACCTTATCACATAATCTGTTACAGATGATACCAGGTTAAGTATATACCTGATCACATAATCTGTTACATAAGATACCATGTTTATTATATACCTGATCACCCAATCTGTTACAGATGATACCATGTTTATTATTTACCTGATCACATAATCTGTTACAGAAGATACCATGTTTATTATATACCTCATCACATAATCTGTTACAGATGATACCAGGTGTATTATATACCTGATCACATACTCTGTTACAGGAGATACCACCTGTATTATATACCTGATCACATAATCAGTTACAGGTGATACCAGAAGTATGTATGACGGTATAATATTCACGAAATATCAACTTGTACTGTGAAGTTTAGTATGACATGCCTGGACAATAACGTACGAGGGAAATACAAGAAGGTTACTGTGAGTTACACAACATTGATTAGCACACAATCCAATACTTTATTTGCCGCTGAAAAAAATATATTAAACTTCATTATGTTTACTATAATACGTTCCTTTTCTTCATGTTTCCATAAGAAAATAAATGTAAATCTGTGAATTACACACAGCAGGACTCGACAAATGATAAAATCACAAAAAGTGCCAATCTGATTTAAGACGTCACAATACGAATACATAATACCTGTGAATAATGACTTAATCCAAATATTTGATTTACGTGTCATCATTACTGAAGCCACACATGGAATGGTATTGTGCTCTATAAGGCCATGGGACATAAAATCAATGAAATGGTATTGAAGTCACTAGACCAGGTTTTATATACCATAACAATAGATTTCTCTTCCTTAACACTGAATCTACGTAATAGGCTGTCGGTACGATACCAACTACAGCCGCTACTGTGGACAGCATCCGTAAGCTTGTTAGTGGATGGAGCATATCTGATGAACAGGATTACAAGCCACAGACTGTAGTTTGATACAATTGTTATCAGCTTGTAAGTTAAAAATTTATGTCTGAGAGAAATAATTTGGCACAGTTAGTGAAAATAGGTTAAGAAACTGTATATGATCAGCTTTCTTCACCTCTTTTCTCTCTCTATTGAATTGTATTGTTATAATAGGTAGGGAAAGTTGATATAATTATATTTCTTTACTTTTTTTGCTATATAAAAAGGTATTGATATAATAGGTAGAGAACGTTTGTTTCTCTATATTAAACTGTATTGTTATAATATTAAGAGAATGTTTATATAATCAGTTTTCTTTATATGTCTCTCTCTTTATTAAACTGTATTGGTATACATGTAATATGAAGAGAACGTTTATATGGTCAGCTTTCTTCAACTTCTTCTCTATATAAAACTTTACTGTTGCAATTGGTAGAGAGAGTGTATATGATCGGCTTTATTCTCTTGACTTTTCCGTATAAAACGTATTAATGAAGTATTAAACATTTTGTTGCCGCTAAATATATTTTATCGATTGAGGGTATACGTCAGGTAACAATACAAATGTTCTAATCGAATATACTATTGCGTAAGACCGATAGTTTGTGTGTGATTTTGTTTACATCTAGTGCTGTGTGTATGTATTATCACATGGACTTATATGACACTTACATTTTTGACCTGATAGTTACACCGCTTTGAGGGAGGCGTTAGAGGAACTATCCACTGTGGTATTTGTTAAATGATTGTAAGCCTAGTGTCGCCTGTTTTTAGTGTTTCTGATGCGTTTATTGTGTACGTTTCCTCATTTACTTTTATATTTGTATTAATATTTATTAATTTATGTTAAACGAAAATCCTCATGAACCCATACGAAAATGTACTTTTGTTTAGTTTACAAAAATAGGCATTTGAGCTTTTTCAATGTCAGTAATAAGAAAATTTCTAAACAATTTCTTCAGCTTGGTAAGTATGGATAGCATAGAGGTTCATATAATACAACCAGTGATAGAAACACTTAAGTTGTTGTGCTTTATAAACCGTTCTACCACTAATATGATTAGCTTGATTCCAAGTGATAAGAACTTACTGTTGCATTGGTGTTGTTCCCCAGGAGTTCGAGCTGTTCCTGCTGTTTCCTCTGTACAAGGTGATTGTCTTCCGTTGACCCGTTTTTCGTCATCGTCACTATAGCCACGCCCATGTTGCATCTTATTCCAAAAGATATGATAAATCCAATACTACTAAGAAACGCTATCACATATCGCTGTCCACATGAACAGTTCTTACAGCAATTACACCGGATGTTGAAATTAAATCTACTTCCGGTGTATTTCCCTTCTTCCTCCTCCGAGTAAACCTCGTCCAATTCATCATACTTTGCGAATCCCTTTTCATCCTCACCTTTCTTTAAAATCCTGAAATGAACAGAAATTATTGTATCGTTAAACAGTTTACCAGTGATTTGTGAACAGCTAGGCAAACCTAATATGGCATCGTTATAAAATGTTGACAATACACTAAACAAATACTTACACATACCATTTCCATAATATTTGTTTTGCTACATGTATGTACAATACATCCGAATAGTTCAACTACAATCAAAGCCTCTCTCGTATCAAACATTTGGCTACTACATCAAATATCAAACTCATCATTACCGTATGTGTAACAACAATATTAATAAAACATACTTTTCCCCAGGAGTATTACATTAGTGCATTGCACTATACCTGTACAATACTAGTGGTTTATATTACCATACATGTATATACTATACATGCACTAATAGAGATACAAAATGTATATAGTAATAGTTACATAAACTGGATATGGATAATATTACAGTGTAACAGTATGCAGTAGTAAGATTTTATATATATTACCTAAGACTTGAATAGTAGGTATAATTCTGTGATATAACTATGGTAGTTTAGAATTTCGGAAATGTACACTACTAGTCGTATATATCATTTGATAAGGATTGAACTTGTTATGTATATCACTTGATAAGGATTGGACTTGTTATGTGTATCACTTGATAAGGATTGGACTTGTTATGTATATCACTAGATAAGGATTGGACTTGTTATGTGCATCACTAGATAAGGATTGGACTTGTTATGTATATCACTAGATAAGGNAGTGCATTGCACTATACCTGTACAATACTAGTGGTTTATATTACCATACATGTATATACTATACATGCACTAATAGAGATACAAAATGTATATAGTAATAGTTACATAAACTGGATATGGATAATATTACAGTGTAACAGTATGCAGTAGTAAGATTTTATATATATTACCTAAGACTTGAATAGTAGGTATAATTCTGTGATATAACTATGGTAGTTTAGAATTTCGGAAATGTACACTACTAGTCGTATATATCATTTGATAAGGATTGAACTTGTTATGTATATCACTTGATAAGGATTGGACTTGTTATGTGTATCACTTGATAAGGATTGGACTTGTTATGTATATCACTAGATAAGGATTGGACTTGTTATGTATATCACTAGATAAGGATTGGACTTGTTATGTGTATCACTAGATAAGGATTGGGCTTGTTATGTGTATCCCTAGATAAGGATTGGACTTGTTATGTGTATCACTAGATAAGGACTGGACTTGTTACGTATATCACTAGATAAGGATTGGACTTTTTAAGTGTATCACTAGAAAGGTGTGAAATGTATGAATACTAAGGATATTTTACATTGCATTTATAGCAAGATTACGTCCCTAGGTAATCGCGTGACCAGTATTTTCGAACTAAGAACCGCATCACTGACTTATTCTTTACACTTGGAATTACATTGTAATTTCGTGTCAAAGTCGAGTTGAATGGTCAGCCTATTCGATTTATAAACCATCATAAAAACGGGTCAATACTTAGTCTAATTAGCCGGAACTGTATCGACATCAGCCGAGAACAATACCTCGCAGCCACAACACAACACTATTATGTTGACTCATTAATTCGAAACAACCTTTGAGGAAACAAGATGCTACCTGTTATAGAAGTAGATCGCTCAGATCAAAAGTATTGGTAGTCAAAGATCAGGATTTCCCCATTGCGTACTCAATTATATAAACAACGTGCACGTGATTTGTGACTTTGTAGTGACAGCGAGAGCAAGGCCATAATTAGTGTATGACACAATCGATGACGCTATTATAACGATTAAACATATTTAAATCAGGTTAATGTATGTTGGTCGAGGGTAACAGCAGTTAGTGATCACGGCCATTTCTCACACTAGGGCCTCTCTATATAGTGTGAATACATGCTAGATATTTTATCCATAGTAGATTGTCCTGCCGACAATATTTCCGTAGTTTATAAAACAGAAATTGCTAGACTCGTTCAGTTTCTATTTTTAAAATCTACGTCTAATGGACATTTTTATTTAATCTTTTGGGTTGAGTTTGTTGGTCGCTGTTGATATAAGCTTATCTTATACTAAGCAGAAGGCTTACATTATACATTGTATAACGATGTCATATAAGGTTTGCCTAGCTGTCCATAAATCACTGGTGAATTAAATGTCATAACTTCATTGTACCGACTCACTGTCCAAGAGAAAAATGGTAAAATGAGTTGTTTTCATAATGTTACCCATGTCGCTAGGTAACGTATAGAACGCCAACGACATTTCTATTGTAAATGAGTTAGGGTTACATGTACGTCCCGTTCCGGTCATGGTAATGGATTACTGAATACAGAACTGAAAGTCCTACTTCAAATAACATCACTAACTAGTGGGTTTTTTTAATTTCGAAATCGATAATTGAAATTCAAATAAATGTAAGACATTAAGATGAGTATCATATTTCATCGAATACTAGCTTGTTAAAACTGTCGGAGGACCATTGCACTAAGCACTAACTTTAACAGGAACATTACAAACTGCCCGATACAGTACTGCAGCAGGCAAGCATAAGTCACTTATAAACACATTGACATTTCTGAGAAAGAGAAGGTAATTTCATCATAATTTATTTGACGAATTCGATCGTTAGATAGAGATGTAAAACTCCTACGGGAACAATTTGTAGATCTTTTCATTAGTGAGCTATTCAGCGAACAAACGGCTGCCATGCCTTTTAACACCTCCACGAACATCCTCTTACATGGGCGGGCAGTGGGGTCTCCGTTAGACAAATGTCTCTATGGAATAGGCCAGACTGTANAATGTCCGTATGATACAGATGGCAATTACTGGCAAGGGACTTGGCCATCAATCACTGGTACGGGGCAATAAATATCCGTTTAAATCAACACGGTAGTAAACAATTGTTGTTAGAGTGACCTTTCAACCGCAATCAATATATAACGAGTTTTTAAACTTCGAATTTTCAGCAAAATTATGTAAAATTGCATTTCTACATGTTTTGTTCTTATGATTCTGTGTTGTTTGTACATGTTGTGAACTATTGTAAATTGTATAACTATCTGACCAAATGTAAGACGACTCGATGAATCAACTTTGTCACCAAGTATAAATAAAGACTTTTATTATCATTAAAATTGTTACCGGGTGAAACTTGATGACAAAACGATTATGCAACTATCAGCTGACCTGTTATTTATGATATAATATATAGTTTGTAGGGTCGTCTTTTACATGATAATCTCTGTTATATAGCAATGGTATCATCGGCAAAATACTCAGGTGGAAATTAAATACAAAACTTTAAATAATAATAATTTACATATAAAATATCACCTTAGGTGATAGACATTTACTTGTATAACCTGGCTGTTTTTAACAGATGAATACTACTATATGTACAGTGTACAGAGAATATACAAACGTAAACCAATGCTAAGTTACAATGATATACAAATGTGGAAAGTAAATTATATTATAGCGATACATATTCCAAGGCTAAAGAAAAGAAGATCCTTTAGTCATCAATTTCACTTTGTCTGCGATCCAGATCTTCCTTTTATTCGCGTTTCGTACTACAGATTTTCTATTATTTAAATCAACAAGATCATAATGACACTCCGGATAATGGTTTGTGTCCAAATAAGGTCACAAAATTATCATAAACTTACAGCACGACTACATATCAGGTGTTAATAATATTCCATGTGGGAACAGGGATCGAGCTATGTTACAACTGATAGTAACTTAGACAGTACAATATGGATGACAAATGGACACATAGGTTGATGTTTTATAACCAAGAATAATAACATTCTGGTTTATAAACAATTAATATGCCATCATATGTTGTATACCTGCATCAGAAAATTAAAACAGAAGGCAAAACATTAAACATCGCCAATAGACAAGGACAGAGGACAGACGGTAAGTCCATGTCTATAGTGTAAAAACCAAAGTAAAAAAAACACAGGGGGGGGGGTCCAAACAGAAGGAAATATAACATGAAACACCACTGAAATAGAGGTAAAATTGATGAAAGGGTAATGTATTCCGGTACACTTGTGGTAACCGTCTTGTATCCTGCCAAACCTAGGAAAGGTCACAAACGATCCAAAACACCACGAACACATCAGGTGCAATGGAAGACACCGAAATACCATAGGAGGGACTTAGATAATGAAATGACTCCAGGTAAATTGAGACATCGTTAGCTTAAATGTATTGATTTGTTTACAGGGCAACAGGGCGTATTTGTCCATAAAACGCTGATATATAAAACACAACTTTAACGCCGAGAATCTAAAATTAATAAAAAAAAACATGGAAGGTTTAGGTTAACTGCTGAACAAGAGAGGCTAGAATGTTAATATTGAGAAGAGGAGATTGGAATGTTACTACTGAGGAAGTGAGGAGACTGGAATGTTACTACTGAGGAAGTGAGGGGACTAGAATATTACTACTGAGGAAGTGGGGCTTTAATGTTTATATTGAAAAGAGGAGGCTGCAGGGTTTGTTACTACTGAGTAAAGAAACAATTTTAAGATTGAAATAATTTTTCTTCCGCTTATATATTTAGGTTACAATTATCGTAATACTGCAGGAAAATTGCAGGACATGATTAGTTTGGTAGTATCTTTAATCTTAGGTTACAGAGAATAAACGAGATGTGGATAGTTTTACAACATTCCTCTTCGCCTGCGTTTACAATAGTGTCGATATGTAATATAAAACACTGTAGTTAAATTCGTCCTCAAGGTGGCGCTTCAGTCCGAATGCAATAACATACGCCACGGGCTACAGGTCATAACACAAACATATTGGCACCGCCTTAGACCGTGAACTCCGCCAATGTGTGGTAGAATATAAAATCACAAAAGCAATCCATCATATTAGTGTTTATGAGATAGGCCACGGAAGGGACTGCGGTGGAGACTGTTAAACATACGAACAATATGTAAGAACAAGTTCTAGGTCGCATTACGTCAGACAGATATTCAAATTAAA